AAAAAGCCGAAGTTTTGACAATGGTAAGCGATAGTTCACACATACTTGCGCTTCTTCTTGGACCTCTAGTTTCTATCAAATCGACTTAGTCGGGCATCTACGGTTTTGTCCCATTCTTCCAGTTATCCGTAAACTGAATGTACGAGGGATGCTGTTGGAGAATACTGTGCAGGTTCATCGTTAGATTTATGTGCGTGATCCCGCAGTATTTTACGATTATCGATTTCGTGTTTTGAAACACGACTAGGAACGGTGTTGCAGTCTGGACCTGCTTTGTCGTCAGGCTTGAATACTGGTCAGCTACTCCCGCTTTCCTGCAAGGAAAACCTGCATCCAGCTAGTGGGCTACATCGAAAGAAGTGATTTGGAGTCTAGGTGATCGTTTCGGTCGGTGACCTGAAATTCCCGTAACCATAGAAAAATTAGTTGGCAAGGTAAAACACACCTTCTTTGTACATTGTCTTTGTATGAGGTGTCATCCCCCTGGGAATCGATGATGTCAAGGTATCTTGGGACTAAGTAACACAAAACGTTTTTATGTTTCAAGGTTGCTGATGCAACCCACACTGTTGCTGCCGGTTCAGTTGGTCTGCTAGGAGGTGGAAAGCTAGGTTTTAATCTGTCCAATACAGCAACAATGCTTTGCTTGCGGCATTCTGTTGTATAGAAACCATTTCCCTATTAACATAGACGTATGGAAAAATGGTTACTTGAAGGTATGAAACGTGAAAAACGAGCGTTTCTTCTACGACACACTCTTAGAACAGCTGACCTTTTCGGATCTTGGTCCGATTGCCCACAAACCTGTGCGAGGATGGAACCTGGGACTGACCTGAAGCATGTCAGACACGTTGACGACGGTCAGAATCTTATCAAACGTATGACAGTTTGACGTATAACGAATGATAGCTGCAAGGGCTACCTGTTTGACTGGTTCCTGAATATCGTCGTTTACTGAGCAGCATTTTAACTGGGTCCTTCGAAATGTATTCACCAGTCGGCTAGTAACGGAAGACTCATCCGAATTCTTCGTTTATGCTGTTCCTCCTAGAACAAATATTGTCTTTAAAAATGCCAGTGAACAACACTTTAACGTATTGATCCCCAAAAGATTGAGCTTCTTGTATTTGACGTAATGTGTGAAGGAAAAAGACATCTTTGGAGCTGTTATTTTGCGCAACCTTTACAAGAAAAAGCTGAGATTTCATTCATAATTCCTCATTTCACTTTGATTCACGTCGAGTTAACGTGAACCGAGTTAACTTTTTACGGCTTATCTTAAGAACTTCATCCAGGTACCTATGAAAGACAGCCATGTCTTCCCAAGGTTGCTGAAGACTCTTCGACAGCCCACAACCATTTGAGTAGTTTCCTCTGAGAAAATATACTGCGATACCTCGAATATCGAACCAACTGAAACATGAGGCGCCCTGTGTGCAGCACATTCAGCTGGAGGACATCATAAATGAGAGATTCAATTGAGTCTCCCGTGGAGGTTAAACTGATAAACAAATGAGTGTATTTGTCGAAAACAGTCTAATTCGGGTTCAACTAGAACATAAGGTTGACGGAAACTCGGAGACCGCGCCTACCTGATGAACCCCAAACAGGAGGGCGAAACCGGTTGTGGGCTGTCGAAGAGTTTCCAGCAACCTTGTGAGTCGCTTCCTTCATGAAAATACACTGTGATATCTCGAATATCGAACCAACTGAAACATGAGGCGACCTGTGTGCAGCACATTCTGTTGAAGAATATCATGAAAACGAGAGGTTCAACCGAGTCTCCAGTGAAAACTAAATTGATACGCAACTGAGTGTATTTGTTGAAATAGTCACATGTTAGTGAAAAAACAGATTGGGCGCTGTTAAACTACGCTTAGTAGCTATTTCATGGATTCTTATATGACTTTCCCCGGTTGAATGGAGGAATTTAACTACGTCCGACATACCTGGGCAACCACAGGTTATCCGGAGGCTGCATGTGTGGTGAAAACTGTACAAGAGGAACAGTTCACGAGACCAGTAAATAGAACCAACGCTTTGGCCAAATAAGAAAGCCGTCTGTGAGAGTACTTGTTGAAGGGTTGAACGGATGTCCCGAGTCAAACAAAATGGCGAAAAGGAAAATGCAATCGATTCTTGAAAGATACTGGTGTAAACTTCGCATGAAAGAATAGTCCGTCGGTTTGGATTGGATGAAACAGAACAGACAAAAATGTTGAAGAGTTGCATGAGAATCGATAAATCTTGATTTGATTTTCTGTACTACGAAACTCAGCGTTTCATGAGGTACGAAACACTAGTTATTTTGAAGAACGTTCAATAATACGAGAAGCCATTCCAAGGACAATGCTTGACTTTTATACATCAAATCATACATCCACAAATGCGACGTTGCGGTGGACATCGGTTCCCTCACGAGGCATGTCGTTTCTTACACGACCTTCCCTCAGTTACAGTCAGTTTAGGGCGGTTGTCGAATAAATTGATTGTGATGGGTATGAGGGGGCCCTTCACGCGTGCCCGAGGTGTAGAAAATTCCCCATAGAAGACAAACTCTTGTTCGATGTGACTTGTAAGATTACCGTTTACGGTTGGTATGGTGACCTACCTGACTGGTGAAATTTGAAACTAAAAGCAAAAATAACCCGATTTGTGTGGAAAGAGGAGAACGAACTGTAAGTTTGAAAATACATATCTGTTTTCGCGTCCACAAAACCGCCAACGAAGTGACTTTTCTCCGGTAACTAGACATGAACAGATTATGCAGGACGAACGAAATGTACGCAATAATTCACACAAATGGTCAAGAAACCCGGAGCGTAGCGCAAATCCACAGTTCAAAGTTTTTGAACCAATGGGAACCAATGTCCCCCGCTATATGGACTTTCGAAAGTCCCTCCAATTTGTCCCATCTGAAAAATTCCCCGTAACAAGAACAGGCTAGTTGAACCATTGCGATGAATTCCACAATTCAAAGGAAACCTTGGCGTCTGTTCACAAGAAAACATATTCACCAGTCAGCTAGGTAGTTTTGAATAACAGCATGTAGAAATTGCTGAAGGAAACGTAGCCTCACGAGCTCGGCTCTGAAAACCGGAATCCCCACATGTATATATTTGTAATTCACTACTCGTAAGGTTGCTGAAAATCCGTCAGCAGCCCACGACCGGTTTTGCACCTCTTGGTGCTCATCAGGTAGGCGCAGTCCCCGGGTTTCCGTCAACCTTATGTTGTACTTGAAATCAAATTGCACGAAATTAGCGAATAGACACTCATTAATTTGCAAACTAATTTGTTTTTTTAGAGTGACTCACCTGGAACCCAGTTAAGTATCCCGTTTGTGATGGATTTCCCACAGTTCCCGCAATATTCTTTGCTCGGGCTTGATAATTGCAAAAGTTTCGTCACCCATTTGTCAAGCTCGGGGAAATCGGTAGGTAAGCCAAGCAGAAGAGCTACACACATTCCACAACGGCTAGGTAACAGTCTTCCGCGTGCTATTTATTATGACGGGAAGATATTTCAAATTATGTCTTGGATATGTTTCAAGAGGCAGCTTTCCTGATGTGCATTTAATCCGGAAACATGATAATTGAGTTTCATTCAAATCTTCGGCTAGTAGGAGATTTCTAGGGCAGTAAGTGAATACCTAATGAAGGGGTTGACCATGCTATGCAAAGAATGCAGGTTGAACCAAATGAAGCCATGCCACGCAAAATCACACATCCAGTTAATCAATACCTTGCTGTCCTCGCATGAATGTGCACCTAGGAGGGAAGATATTCAATGTCTTGGATATGTTTCAAGAGGCAGCTTTCCTGATGTGCATTTAATCCGGAAACATGATAATTGAGTTTCATTCAAATCTTCGGCTAGTAGGAGATTTCTAGGGCAGTAAGTGAATACCTAATGAAGGGGTTGACCATGCTATGCAAAGAATGCAGGTTGAACCAAATGAAGCCATGCCACGCAAAATCACACATCCAGTTAATCAATACCTTGCTGTCCTCGCATGAATGTGCACCTAGGAGTTGCGGTCTCCGGTCGGCTCAAAAATCTGACCGACTAACGATCTGAAGATCATATTCACTTGGGCCCCGGCTTTCGTTCTGTGATGAGTGTCATGGAAATATTCTTTCGCGCACACTCCTTCGGGGGTAAATAGACTTGTCAGTAGAAATCAACGCTCAGGAGGCTGTCTGACAGCAGAAGAGTCATATGCGAGCTGTTTTAAAAGTGTGGACTGCCATGTAGATGGGAAGGACCTTAGAGCAAACTCAGGCAAGCAACCCAGAGTAAACTTCGCTTTGCGGTTCTGGTTTGTATAGATTACCCCATTAAATTAACTTGCCTTTCGTCCAAAAACGTCTCTTTCTGCTCGCGCTTTGTACAGGAATGTTCTGTAACTGTTCTTTCAGAATTTCCGCCTTTTCTCCTTCCGTCAACTTTGAGAGGGAGACTGAGTCACGTGACACCGCAATCCCCTCATCTTTGCATATGAATTCGTGTGTTGGTTTTTACAGAAGTGAACACGAGGGCTGGGATACTGCCAGGATGCCCAAGTCTAGGCAGCGGCAGCCGAGAGGCAGAGGTCGGGTTCGAACCACAGAACTTCCGGTCAGTAAATTCGCGCTCTAACCACTGATCCGTCTTGCCCCGATGGTGTTGAAAGCACCAGCATAAAGTTTTGTCTCTCCTTCTTGATCCGTCATTCCGGTCAGCGAATACACTCCTCGGAAGGAGGGACGGATAATATTCGTCCAGTTCCTAAAATGAATGCATTAATAGCAGAGTGGAATGGTGACAGACTAAGCGGGGTGAGCTTATATGCAATGCCGGATGGCATAATCACAGGTAAGGTGGTGGAAAGGGTATGGGGACTTGACGAAGGAACCCTCGGTCAGGTAGGAAAACTTGTTGGGGAATTCAGCGTCACACTGTTAGCCACAAATAGCTGACATGTTGTCGAACACCGCATGGCAATCTGCTCATCACATCACCTCGTCTAGGCCCAGTCCCAAAACCAGACGCAACGTAACGGTTTTCCGTGTGCAGCGGTGTGCCTCTTGACGTCTGTATGGAATCTCACCGATAAGCCTAAGAGAGAAGGAAAGGCATCTTACCATGTGCACGGTACCTGCGTTACCTTATGACTCGATCACTCACAACAGATACGATCATTTGGTTGGTAGACAACAGACGGAAGTGAGAATAAATTTCGAAAACTTCAGCTCAATCAGAAAACAATTTCCCCAGTACAGGATGTCCTCAAAATCGGAGTGTCACACTCTCCCTCTGAGCTACAGAGAACCCCTCTGGTCAAGAACTACTGATATAGAGCTATTCTGAGGGATAGACACTAGGAATTGTTAGCCCTGACATTAAGCTCAAGCGATAGATTTCTCCACTTCATCTCACCCCTCGCTTGTCGTACCTTAAATATGAATCACTTCATCATTGTAAGCTGTAAGAACCGCGTACTAGTCCTACAGTCGTTGTAACTGTCGCAGTTTTGTTCACCGATGATTGGGGGGGGGCATTGGAGGTGGGAGCTGATAAGTTGGTGCATAAATTCAGCGCTGTCAGTGGGCTGTCAAGTGGGGGGATTGGGAAGGGAGCTGTGCATTGAAGGCAATAGCTTGGATGCATGAGCGCCAGTGAGGGCGCGAATGGGCCATGTCTGACAATGTCTCTAACCATTGATGTATCCTGTCTTGACATCCTCATTCAAGGGGACGGCGGTGACCCGTGCAGCTGAGTTTGCTGGTAATGGCTTTCATACTTCGCTGCCAAGTCATTGTTTGACCTCCCCTAATACGTTTCCCTCCTTCATGTAGTTGTGCAAAAAGAACCCTTCAAGGAAGTCGGTTGCAGGAATAAATAGACATCCTTGCAGTTGATTTAGATGTCCGGTATCCACTGTGGAGAGCGAGATGTGTCAGCTCTCATGGAGAGGTGGATAAAAATATTCTTCTTTGTATCAAGCACTGTGATACAGCATCCATATTCTTAGTGTTTTTTTTTCAGTTTCTCCAACAATTAGTCGACCGGGGTCATCTCGTATTTCTGCTCAGTCTACAGACACACACATAAACGCCAGCTTGAGGGACACGATTACAAGGTCCTTAGCTATAAACTTCCTACGGTAAAGTCTGAATACAGCCCAGAGTTTCTCCCCCTTGTCCGAAAGATCGGTTACAACAATGGCGACATGGATAATAGGAACCACGCTTCAAGAACCATCGCAACCATTGCAAGAACAGCGGCATTTCAGAACACCCGAAGTAGGAAGGAATGATATCTACTTTGAAAAAATTACGTGATGAGGACGTGGAATATGAGTCTAGGGTGAAAGGGTGACTGTTTTTGATCTACTACTTTGGCGAAACCAACCGTTTTTGACAGGAGAATCACTGTTGCCCGAGGGTTTCCTCTCCGTCAGATCAAGATATTTGATGGCCCTAAAATTTCTAATGACCTCTGCTCATAAGGAGAAATTTTTTTTATTATGGCTTGCAAATAGCACGCGCAACTCTGTAGGATAGTTGTGAAAACCGGTAGCAGGTTGATGGCATTGGAACCAACGACCAGGTGCTCGGTATATCGGCTTAACTGCCGTAGTTCTTACCTCAGCCTACATCCCTTAGAGCACGATAATCTTCGTTAGCGATAACACATTTAAAGTTTCTAGAATTTTCTGCAAAACTTTTCCTCTCTGATCGATTACTTTACCATATTCAGACAATACGGTCCAAGGTGCACCGCGTGCCGCAAGACCATCCAAGCTTCGGAGCTCGTTCATTTTGCCCGCAGTTCAATCTTCCATGCCGCGTGTTTCCGCTGTAATATCTGTGATCATCAGTTTATCGCTGGAGACCAACTATGTCTGGCTCGTGGCGACCAGTATGTGATATGTCAAGAACATTACACGGCACCCCCGCCAACTGGACGTATGGCGATTCAGCAATTGGTGGAACGGTCAGAAGGTGCCGTCTCAGACTTCCATTTGAGCAGTGTCCGACCCTTGACCCCAAGCACACCCAGCTTCAATTCCTGTCGACAATCCAGCACCTCCATTGAAGGATCAATGGAGAAGGAGAACCGAGCTCAAGTCCTGGAAGACGATGCAGGAACAATGGCCTCCTCAGCAGAGGACGGTAGTTTCCGTAAAACATCGCCTTCCCCAGTATCGTCACAATCCAGGCTTATGCAGATACACAATAGACTGCCCAGTAAGTTATCCAACTAATTTCCAAGGGTATCCATTCTTTGAAAAAGAACTCGGTCCACATGAATGTAGCTCAAACTGTTTAGTTCAAAATTGCCTCAGTTTAGAATCACCTAAATTGATCATTCATCATTCTGAGTTGCAAACGCTGAATTAGAATGAGGCACTCCTCTCTGAATAAGACAACAATGTGGCTGAGGTTCGAAAACGCCAAACAGGTTGACAGGAGTGTCGTGAAGAAAGAGACCGCAAATATCTTGAGTCGCATTTCACTTTTTATTCGTTACAGTTTTCTTTCCTGAAGAATTAGAAATTCTTCCTTGAGTTCTCGTTAAGTGGATGTTAGTAATATTGAACAGATTTTTCTTCCTCCAGTCAATCTCATTGTAGAATTCCACAGTCATGACATTTGATTTAAATGGACGCCTGCTGAAGGCTGTTCAGTAATGCAATAATCGATAAGTTTGCTGTACAGACAGGACTGGCTGCAAAATTGACTCATTAGTTTCTAGAATAGGGAGTCGTACATAGTACATTTGTTCTTGAATTGTCGGTACGGGCTGGGGGGGGGGGACATTCGAACTGGTAAGATCAACCGGTTAACGCGTAAGGACAGTTCTGTGAGAAGTAATAGACATGTAATTGATATATGTCAGAATTTGTAGCGGGTGCACAGTTCTCCTGCTCTTATACTATAATCCAACCGCAGTTAGTTGGGATCTCCAAATACACACACATAGAATGAGTGTGAACACTATTCAGGTTTTTGCACGAACGACGGACTTGTTGCTTGTCGAATGTCGAAGCTACTCCTTTCTCCGTCGCACTTGCACGTGTGAACTTCACAAGTGGTTCTCGGCCTACCTTCTGAGCTCTTTGCGTGATTTCCACAGTTGTCCAGAGTTTGACTTTATCCGACTACTCATAAGGGTCTGGCACAAGATAATCCCAATATCACTCGACTTTTGCAACAACGCTATCGACTTATGAGATAAAAGTACGGGTCTGCACAAAAATATAATGAGATTTATGGCGTCAGAAGCTCAGGCTTAAGAGCTGGCTGCACAGAGCCACTGCAGTTTTACTTCATAAAACTTGAATCCTCCTGTCCAGGGACCTTAATCTTCAACTGGTTGAGGACGGGGTAAATTCATGCGGTTTAGCAGTTTGGTTTCCATGAGAGAATAGATTGTATGTAGGATTTATTGTATTCGTTAAATTTCGGGATTCTAATCATGAAGCTGCTGTTATCGGGCGTTCTTTCCACTTGAGAAGATTTGCAACCAAGTTTGTAGCTGAATGCAAAACGTTTTATCCATCATTAACGCACACTACTACTTATCAATTTATCCATAATGGTACCATGTCATTATCACCATGTTTCGATGTTATTTCACTGTGGTTACTTTCAGTATTGTTATCAGTAGCAAAATACACTCGTTTGTAAGGAAATTTTCGGGTGGCTCAGCTGAATCTCTCGTTTATGATATTTTTGGAAGACGAATTGTCAGCAACCTTATGAGTAGTGTAGTGCGTCCATCAGTACTATGTTCTCCTAATGTTTCTCTCAACCCATCTGGCGGATGTACTTTATTGCTTCTTAGTCAATCGATTCTTTGGTTAGTGTTCTCACTGTTCCGTCTTCCGCGGGACCAGCTTTCGGCTTTTGGTTTTTTCTACAGGAATAATCTTCACGACCGAAGTCAACTCTAAATTTGAATAATTTGACCGTTAGTATCTGTCCAAATTGAACTGAATGTAACTCACTCACCGAAAGTGTTCCATATGCTAGAATTTCAGGGTGAGTTCAATTAGATATGAACTGAATAGGCCAGAAGCCACGAGAATACAACAGACTGGTGAATGTTCGCACTTAATTTATGCCCTGTCCCGTCGAAAATACAACTTGAAAATACAACTTGGCCTACTATACAACGGATATGTCTGGGTTTTTTGATCATCATCATCATCACCATCATCATCACCATCATCATCATCATCATCATACTTGTCAGCTTTAAGAACCGCGTACTTGTCGTACGGTGGTTGTAGCTGCCATAGTTTCGTTCACCGATGATTCGGGGAGGTGGGGCAGGTAGCTACGCATCGGAGGCGGGAGCCGATGGGCATTAGATACTGCAATCGACTGATCATTGTTCGATTCCATTGGCCAATCGTTCCGCTATTCTTGTGGCTGACTATGGCCATTGAATCGCTTGCCATTTCTCGTTGGAGTTGCATCAACTGTCTAAAACCATATCAACTCCCAGAATCAAAGTTCACCTCAGTTTATGGAACAAACCCTGGTCCGCCAACTTGGGGAATCTGCCGAAAGGTTCTGTAATCAGCAACATTCATGTTCCCAGTGTTGACGATCAGGATTCTGTTTGTTGCTTCCCAGTGTTGACGATCAGGATTCTGTTGAACGCTTCCCAGTGTTGACGATCAGGATTCTGTTGAACGCTTCCCAGTGTTGACGATCAGGATTCTGTTGAACGCTTCCCAGTGTTGACGATCAGGATTCTGTTGAACGCTTCCCAGTGTTGACGATCAGGATTCTGTTGAACGCTTCCGTCGAATGATGAACCTACTCACCGGTGTAACGGTTGATGACCAAGAAGCATATTTTAGAGCGTGAATCTGGCAAGTCGCTTCGGATGTACGCACACAGCCAAAGTCTGCAAACACCTCCCTCAAATCCGACCTACCTCGCCACTTACCTGAAAACATTTACGCCTCGAAACCGTAGTGAGAAAGAAGCACCATCACTGATGGACGGCCTTACCACCAGACTAATTAGCATTTTAGATTGAACAAACTACCGCCGTCTCCGTGATCTGTTGCACAGTACGTTAGCTGGCTATATGGCGCATAAAATAGCAACCGTTTGGCGCTGATGCTCGCCCCTCGGCTCAGCGACAGCAGTTTAAAAGCAACGGTTGCAGTCGTCTGAATGAACCATGGCTTCATGGCGCGTCGTTGTTCGTGGAAGCAGCGCCGGTTGAATTTTAAATTTATGCACAACCATACAGACACAATATACCCACCCCCACCACCACCACCACCCACCCACACACACACAAACTTTGAAGTGGAAACAGTCTCACCACAGCCCCGCCTGTGTTACCACCCCACCCCTCACAATAAACATCAAGCTCTGTTGCGCAAGATGTCATACGGTCTGTCAAGCCACATCAGTCTTCACGCTCGCTGTTGCGGTTGCCGTCCTAGTAGGTAACACGAGTCGGCCTGTGCTCAGAGCTCGCGAACGACCGCGACAGTTGGTAATATCGATCCACAATTTGAATAAATGACTAAACAAATGGTGGTCACCGGACTGCAGTAGCAGGCTGCAATGTGAATCGGAGCGTGAAACGTGAAGCTCTCAAAGAACAACAATTCGGTATCGCCGTCTGTTGGGTCTGAATGTGACCGGAAAATCTTTGCACATGGGTTTCAAGACTGAAGTGCGGGCGACCATGCCGAGTCCTCTTTTGTAAGACTCGGACTGTATGGGGCGTTATTCATGGTGCTTCAAAATAACGGTTTTTGTTGGATAAGCCAGCCAGTAGAACTATCAGAACTGCGGATGCTTCCTGCACCTTGATTCGTTGAAATCCCCTTGATAGCCAACTCGAGGGAACACTGTGAGACTGTATTGGTTAACGGCCCTATGGAGTTTCTAGTGAACAGAACAAATTACTAATGTAAGCCAGATACAAAGTCACAAGGAGAAAATCCAAGTAAATGGTGACTCACAGTTCAAAATAGGAGATTCCGTAGTTCCGTTGAACCACCACACCAAGAAAAGTTCTATATTCCTGGTCTTCCAAATCTCCGGTGATCAAAATATTAATCCACAAGTATGAATATATTGGTACGGCGTTTGTAGCTAAAATGTTTGTTCACGTTTAGAGTTAGTAGCAGTCAATTATAGCCAGCCGGCGGCCACAAAAACAGTCACTCAGCAAAAGTCTCAAAGTCACGTTGGACCCAAGAAGCGGGCGGTTGCGGTTGTATTTCAGTAAAACAAACTATTGTACAGTGGTGTGACAAATATTGATGGGGTGAGGGAAGATGATACTGAGCATGAAAAAGAGCAGTTTACAAGTGCTACAGAACCCCCCTAGAGTGTCAAATGGGTGAGCAAGGCGCTCGAAAAGGAAATGCGTCATGACAGTTAGTCTTCGAAACGAATAAGAAGTTTGTAAAGTCGACCAGATCTTGTGAGTGGTGGTGTGTGTGTGGTATTGGTGGTATCACTTGTCGATGGAGGGATTGTATGACTGTGTGATTGTGTAACGGAGGGGGTCGTGGTATGCTCATCCTCAGAGGTTGGTCGTGTGTGCATGTAAACAACTTTCAGTCGATCGATGCTAACTGTGTCTTTGCGGCCGTTACGATCAATGACAAAAGTTTTGTCTTTCCGAGAAATGACTCTGAAAGGCCCTTCGTATGGCGGTTGTAAGGGCTTTCTGACCGCATCGACGCGCACAAAAACATATTCACATGTAGCAAGATCGGGATGTATCTGGGTAGGCTTGGAGGTTTGTCGAGTAGGTGAAGGACGGATATCACGCATGTATTGGCGAAGCCGGGAAGCGTAGGAATTAGGGTCCGTTTCACCAGTTGTTACAGAGTCGATTATCATTTCACCTGGAAGACGTAAGGTAGTGCCGACGAAGAGTTCAGAGGCTGTGCAACCCAAGTATTCTTTAATAGTATTGCGTATACTGAGAACAATGAGGGAGAGGCTTTCCGACAAGTGTGTGCTAGAGGAGGCGATCAGCGACGCCTTGAGTTGTCGATGGAAGCGCTCGACCATGCCGTTGGCAGCCGGATGGTATGCGGTTGTACGGAAGTGATCCGTACCAAGTAGCTGTTTGAGGTCATGAAAAAGCGTTGATGTGAATTGTGGACCTCGCTCAGTGGTATCAACGTAGATTGGATTATATATTCATCGGCAAACGTTGCTTATAAACGGGCTGATGTGTGTATAGTACACAAAGGTCAACTGGTGGCCGTACAACTGTTCACAATAAATCACAGGCACTAGCGGAATAAGTATGGGATCATACTGGGTCAAATGATATGATACTCGTAGGCTTGTCTGGACTGCGATGAACTGTTTAAATGACAGATCAGAAGGTTTCAAATTAAATTAATAACCTCTGTATTATTGCAGTATCTTGATACATATTTTTAAAATGGCCCTATTTAGATCACTCCCTCAAATCCCGTCGTAAGCTACAGGCTACCATCGACCGTAAACAGCGGTGGTCCTCACTCATTAGATCACTTGATATGCATTGCACCCGCCATATGACACTGGTGTTCGCCCGTCTGTTGCTCAATTGAATCATGGGGATCATTACGACGTGCTCACTTCAGGAGACTTAGAAACAAACTAACAGACTGTGTACTGAACCTATAGAAAAAGCAAACAGTCACACTGTTGGAAATCAGCCCACTTGACGCTTACCGTAAAACTGGTTGGTGTAGAGTTCTTTCCCATCTGGTGACTGAAATAACTATGATCTTATCTGTGCACGAGTTGACACACCAGAGTACATTTCCCACCACTTTTAGCCGAATCATCCAGTTCAGTTTTACCTTGTTGGGGGTCGAATTGGATTTTACAAAATGGATGGGTAACCTCAGCAGCGAGGCTGTCTGCTGATATGATCTTTTAGCAATTTTTGTGTCGTTCATCTCGTTATCCTCATCACCGATTCTACCTTGTCTGTAAAGAAACAAAACCTTGGTGAGGAGCTCGTGGATTCGTGACGATGGTCCCCAGTTAAGATTATGTTATCCCCTAAGTATGTGATACCGGTGTAACGGTGATACTACTGCTGGGTGCATGCGAGTAATATGTTTTCTCGTAAATCCGCTTCGCGTCTTTTGAAAAGTGAGATCTATTACCGACCTGATGGAGTCGCTCTGTAGCGTGTGCTTGCGTTTGAGTAACAGTCAATGAATATCCAGGAAAGTTCAGGAAGACGCGTTTAAAGAGAAGATGGATACACAGTTTTTATAAACAAGATGTGTATGAGAGTTTCGCTCCGCTGTCCAATAGTCTGTTACTGTTTAGTTGGCATTTTCTAACAAATAACTCCCCAGCGAAGGTATTCTTCCTTTCACTGGTAAACAATAGAATCCGCGCCAAATTTCATGATAAATAAGACAGAATCTAGGTCCATATATGTGGTGTGGGATCGGATAGTTGGAGCTATTTCGTAAGCAAGCTTAAAATGGAAATGCAACTCACTCTGACAGAATTTGAATCACAGTGACTATCCTACAATCCATTTAGGCTAGTAGCCATTCATTTTCTGATTGAGTGGCAAACAACTCACGTGACCAGACATCCTACATCTATCTGATGAGCTTCAATAAGGGCGGGAGGCTTTAGTTGTGGCTGAGTTCTCAGAATCTGATATCAGAATAAACAAGCTAAATACATTTATTATCACAGTTACTGGATTAGCGAATAGCCACTCGGAAACGGCCAGCAGCACACAACACACATTTTTGTTTGTACGCCGTCGTCAAGCTTGGAAAAAAGTTTCTCTTCTTTTTTCTGCACAAAAACAACAATCGACTTACGACATTCTGAAAACGACTACCTGGGGCCTGGTGATTTCTCAGCCATGAACCATGTAAATGCCACTTTGGGGAATGGAAACGGAGCGGTAGGTACCGCGATTCGCCGTGTGTACACACACCGAGACGTTGTTGGAACTAGTAGGTTTCTTACTAGTTGTAGGTTCGACTTCTGTGTACCAATGATTGATTGAAGTCGGTGCTAGGGCTCGTGCGGGTTAGTTAGGTGGGGGCGGTCGCCGAATACTCGCCGAGATCCTTCAGAAAGCTGCTCCTAGGGGGTTAACCCACATATTGTGACTGTATCCAGTCGAGAGGTTCGCCGGACGTATTGATTTATTTTGAAAATTGTGAGCTACAATGTAAAATGAAGACTGTCGTGTTCTTACGAGATCCCTAAGGGCTATTAAAAAGAGGCTGTGGATGATCTCGGTGTGAAATCCTTAGTACCACCAACAAAAGTAACACAGTAGTAACTATCGCTACGTGAATGGTATAAACATATAAGAAAGAATGCCCAAGAGAGAAAGTGGAGGGATGAGTGAAGTCAACTTTGAGGGTGTCAATTCTTTTCTTCTATTCTCATTATGTACCACCTCATCCTTCGTCTTGTTGTTTCCATTTTGTGCCCACACCGCCTTTCTTGTTTCAACCTGAACGACACAGCGGATGGTGAAGGCCATGAAAGGTAATAACGTCCAACGGCAGTTGGGGGACACGTGTTGCGCATGGCTAACCATCGCTTGCTGAAGTCAGTGCTGTTTTCCATGCCCAGTTTAGAGTGGCGGAAGCAGAAAGGTGGCCAACCGTTGACCTGGCAGAGGAGTATGAAGGAGATCACGAAACGCTTGGGTGCTGTTGGTACTACTCGCCTTCCAGGATGGGGGCCATGTGATCCCCACTGCGCCTGGTTAGAGACGCTGCAAGATATGGCTGCCAACCGATGTCAGTGGCGTTCTTGTTGTCAGTTTCTATCCAGATTGCCTGAGTGAATGTCTGGATGTGTAGTCACCTCAGAATGATTGTAGTAGGCTAGCAATAAGTCCCTTCCCCATTCACCTTTATTCTTTTCTTTACAATAAGGCTTTCACCTAAAACATGGTTATACGGCAGTGGAGCATAGGTGTTGAACACTGATGTCATGCTGTCGATGATGATGATGATGATGATGATGATGATGATGATGTGGGAGTCCCCGAAGCTACCC